TGATGAGGACCGGCTCAGGACAATAGTGGCAGCTTTGGAGGAAGGGATGCGTTGAAGGTCTGCTCTGAGGCGAAAGTCCCTACTTAGTGATACTATATGTGGGCAATGAAGAGGAGGGGTGATTCACTGAAACTCTGATGGGATCCTTCTCTCAGCTGTCTAAGACCAGTTGACTTGAGAAAAAAAAATCTATGTATCGTATGACTCTTAGCAGTGAGTTTATTTTGTTTTTATTTATTTTTTGAGACAGAGTCTCACTCTGTCGTCCAGGCTGGAGTGCAGTGGTGTAATCTTGGCTCACTTAGCAGTAGATTTTTTAAAACTCCATGTATTTAACACATACACAATCAGGTGATACCAAGCTCTGCAATCTAGGTTTTCCACCTAATGTGTCATGAACTGATTTCTGTCAGTTCATGTAGAACTGTCTCATCTTTAACTCAGTTTTTATTTTTATTTGAAAAATGTTGCAAAACATAAACAAGTTAAAAACCATGTACAGTATGATAAATTTAACAAACTATAAAAAGTAAAAAAAGAAATCACCCCTTCATTTTATTTCTGGAGCATGTCTCCCCCAGTTTTCCCAAAGGTAACACAGACTTGGTAAGAGATTCCCATGAACTACGCATACATACCTCTCTATGTGTATACAGTTGTCCCTCAGTGTGCGTGGGGACAAGGAGGTTGGTTCTACGACCCCTGTGGATACCAAAATCCATGGATGCTCAAGCCCCTGATATAAAACGACATAGGATTTGCCTATAACCTGTGCATACTCTCCCATATACGTTAAATCATCTCTAGATTACTTATGCTACTCAAGACAATGTAAATGCTGCATACATAGCGTTATACTGTTTTGTTTAGGGAATAGTGACAAGAAAAGATGTCTGTACGTGTTCAGTACAGACACAACTATCCTTTATTTTTTTCCAAATATTTACAATCCACGGTTGGTTGAATCCACAGAGGCAGAACCCGTGGATAAAGATGGACAACCGTATATAAAGTACAGTGTGTCACAATGCGCAGTTTCCACTGTTACTGTTTTTTACAAAACTTTCCGCCCTTATTTGTGATGAGCACCAGTGGTCCAAGAATCAGCAGTGTTTAAGAGAGCTTTACCTCAAAGTGTATGCTTTTCATATTTGTGTTTGTATATAGATTATAATACATGCCATCTGGGCTCATTGCGGTATCTCATGCCTGCAATCCCAGCACTTTGGGAGTCTAAGGTGGGAGGATCGCTTGCATCCAGGCATTTGAAACTGGCCCGGGCAACATAGTGAGACCTTGTCTCTATTTAAAAAATGAAAAGAAAAAAATAAATACCTTCCCCCAAAATACACATAAGCTGCTTTAAATAAACAATTTTTTTTTTTTGAAACAATGTCTCTCTGTCACTCACGCCTGAGTACAGTGGCGCGATCTAGGCTTACTGCAACCTCTGCCTCCCAGGATCAAGCCATCCTCCCACCTCAGCCTCCTGAGTAGCTGGAATGACAACCCGCTAAGTTTTGTGTTCCTTGTAGAGATGGGGGTCTCCCTATGTTGCCCAGGCTGGTCTCTAACTCTGGGACTCAAGTAATCACCTACCTGAGCCTCCCAAAGTGTTGAGACTACAGGCATGAGCCACCACGCCCAGCTTAATGAACTTCTAATACACTATGCCATTTTAAAATTTCATTCGTTGTCTGACTGTTTCTTCACTAGGATATAAGCTTCCTGAGGGCAGGGGGTTTCGTTTTGCTCACAGATGTATCGCCACAGACTAGGTAGTACCTGGCCCCAAGTAGGTGCTCAATATATATTGAATGTGAAATGAATAAACTTCCACCACATTATCTTCATTGTGCTTAAAATGACCAAATGGCTTTTCCCTGTACTTCCCTGCTGTGTCTTTTCCCCTTGATCTCATGTGGTGTGCTCAGGGAGGCCAACTAATGTTAGTATTAACTTAAGAAAAGTGGAATGTAAGCGGGCACAGTGGCTCACACCTGTAATCCCAGCACTTTGGGAGGCCAAGGTGGGCAGATCACTTGAGGTCAGGAGTTCGAGACCAGCCTGGCCAACACAGTGAAACCCTAACTCTTCTAAAAGTTAGCTGGGCATGGTGCAGCATGCCTGCAGTCCCAGCTACTTGGGAGCCTGAAGCATGAGAATCGCTTGAACCCAGGAGGTAGAGGATACAGTGAGCAGAGATTGCGCCACTGCACTCCAGCCTGGGCGACAGAGCAAGACTCCATACCCCCCAAAAAAAGTGAAGTGTAGAAACAGATTCCCCCAAAGAAACCACTGATGTCTGCCATGGTGAAACTTAAAGGATTACTCTTATCCGGCCTTTGGGATTATCTGCACCATGGCCTCCATTCCGTTACACGAAGGATCAAGCTGACCACATAAACATTTAGACTCCCTGCATGATTTGGGAGAACATAAGCTGCTGATGAGTTTGTATAATACCCAATGTATAATTGCACAATGTGGCAGGCATAGCCCTTCCATTCCAAAAGAAGGAAAGAGACAAATATATGATACATGATACTATACATGTTTTCATTCTTCACAATCATTAAAGATATAAATAACACTACTTTTTTAGAGAAAAGGAATTTATCTGTTGACAGGAATATATATTGCTGGGCATGGTGGCTCATGCCTGTAATCTTAACACTTTGGGAAGCCAAGGCAGGAGGATCTCTTGAGGCCAGGAATTCAATACCAGCGTGAGCAACACAGCAAGACCCCTCTCTACAAAACATAAAAAGATTAGCTGGACATGGGGGTGCATGCCTTTAGTTCTAGGTACTCAGGAGGTTGAGGTGGGAGGATTGCCTGAGCCCAGGAGTTCGAGGCTTCAGTGAGCTATGATCACACCACTGCACTCCAGCCTTGGTAACGGAGCAAGGTCCTATCTCTTAAAAAATAATAATAATAAATAATGTAGAAAGGGAAGAGAGTTGAGCTTCCAGAATAGTCTTTCTGACTCCAAACTCCAATTTATTTTTATCCTACATCACTTTTTCATAAAAGTTCAGAACAAATTGTTTGATGTTTTTCTTATTGTTCATTATTACTTTTTAAAAGGTCAGTTCTGACATTTGATTAACATTTCCTGACAAACCACATATCATTTTCCTCCCTCCCTTCCGTCTTTCCTTCCTTTTATTCTTCCATTTATAATGCAACAGATGATAGTTTGTCATGGTGTCCTGTAGGTCGTGTATTTTATTTTGCAATGCCAGATAAAATTGTCAGCAGCCACTTGTGGAAAGCTTCGCTGGAAAATATTGCTTCAACCATACTTATTTGTTTCTTAAAATGCTATTTTTGCTGATCTCCACTTAGAACAACAGAAACACAGATGGCTGCAGTTACTGGATTTGCTGTCAGTTTTTATGCCCCTTTTCTCATATACACTTTTGGCAAACAAGTTTACTTTCAAAAACATATGCTAAGAATAGTAACAAATTTTTCAGACTTGAAGTTGTCTAGGAAAAAAGTATGCTCCATGTTAAGAAAGCGTCTGCAAATTCAACAAAGCAGATTCATCTCCTAGAAAACCCGTTCTCTGAGCAGACCATTTTCATCTCTACCCAATAAACACCAGATTCCTCAGCTTGGCAGTCAAGAACCTTGACCATATCTAGACTCAGATGATTCTTCGTACTTTTTCTTCTGATTCCAAGCTACTGTACTCTATTTTCCAGCAAAATGGGTCTGTTTATTTCCCCTGAGGTCACGCTTCCCTCCGTTTTGCTCATTGCTGTTTCTTTTGCTTGGGGAGATTTCCTTTCCTCTAAGCATTCCATCTCTCACAGCTCAAAGGCCACCTCCTCCAGAAAGCGTTCCTGGGTTAGATTTGCTTTCGCACCTCTAGACATCATTGGTCTTTATTTGTCCCTTCTTTAGGACACATATGCTACATCTTTTGCTTTAATTATTTCTGCCCCAATTTAGAGAACCATTAGAAGGCTATTAATAAAAAAATGAATGTGCCAGAACAGTTGAAAGAAGGTATTTAACAATAATTCCTGCTAATGGTATAATGAGACAGGATTGCAGATAGGTGGCCTGCAAACATTTTTTAAAATTTGCCTACCGGCTGGGCGCAGTAACTGACACCCGTAATCCCAGCTCTTTGGTAGGCCAAGGCAGGCAGATCACAAGGTCAGGAGTTCGAGACCAGCCTGGCCAACATAGTGAAACTCTGTCTCTGATAAAAATACAAACAAATTAGCCAGGCGTGGTGGCAGGATGCCCGCAATCCCAGCTATTTGGAAGGCTGAGGCAGGAGAATCACTTGAACCCAGGAGGTGGAGGTTGCATTGAGCCAAGATTGTGCCATTGCACTCCAGCCGGGCGACAGTGCAAGACTGTCTCAAAAAAAAAAAAAAAAAAAAAAAAGTTGCCTACCATAGTGTTTGAAAGAAAAACAATTCAATTCAATTGGAATGCTTGTATATTGGCACACACACTCTACCCCACCAGTTTCCCTGTTCCCCATTGCCCTTATACTGGCACATCACATGTTTACAATCCTTGACTGACCCTGGGTGGCATCTGAGTTTACAAGCTCCATGTAGAGGTTACATCAATCATTTGATACACGAGGTCCAAATCATGGCTCTGTTATTTCTAGCTAGCTGTATCAGGTTAAGAGCAAGACTTCTAATGATATCTTTGAATAGTGCTTTATATTAGAGGTGGCCTTATGCAAATAAACAGGTGCAGTTGACCCTTGAAACGTGAAGTTTAGGAGTGGCAATCACTTGCACGGTCAAAAATCCACCTATAAATTGGGTGCAGTGGCTCACGCTTATAATCCCAGCACTTTGGGAGGCTGAGGTGGGTGGATCACCTGAGGTTAGGAATTCAAGACCAGCCTGGCCAACATGGTGAAACCCCGTCTCTATTACATATTAAAAGATTAGCCAGGTGTGGTGGTGGGAGCCTGTAATCCCAGCTTCTTGGGAGGCTGAGGCAGGAGAATGGTTTGAATCCAGGAGGCGGAGGTTTCAGTGAGCCAAGATCGCACCACTGCCCTCTAGCCTGGGCAACAAGAGCATGAAACTACATCTAAAAAAGAAAGAAAGAAAGAAAGAAAATCCACCTGTAACCTTTGACTCCCAAAAACTTAATAGTCTTCTGTTGACCTTACCAATAACACGGTTGACTAACATATATTTTGTATGTTATATGTATTATATCCTGTATTCTCACAATAAAGTCAGCTGGAGAAAAGAAAATATTAAGAAAAATTATAAAAAAGAGAACATTATTTATTAAGTAGAAATAGATCATCATAAAGATCTTCACCCTCATTTTCTGCACATTGAGTATGCTGAGGAGGAGGCAGAGGAGGGGTTGGTCTTGCAGTCTCAGAGGTGACAGCGCGAGAAAAAAATCTGAGAACAAGTGGATCCATGCAGCTCAATCCTGTATTGTTCAAGACTCAACTGTATATTTTTGCATACGGGCTCAAATACATACACACATATGGCCATGAGTCAAAGATTCATAGAATGAATTAGACAACAAGGATATTTATCACTGAATTGAAATGGCTGACTGCAAAACTGCCTCAACTTACCTCTAGGCCTTAGAAACAGAAGTGACCCTTTGCTGCTGTGAAGCAATAGCCTGGACTAGATTGGGGTTGGGCTGGCAGAGGTATGTAGTCTTTGCCTCAGTCCGGTATTCCTGCTCAAGCAGTCATCACTAGCAGTCACATTGCTCAGACAGGGCCTCCCGGCTCTCCCCACCACTGTCTGCTGGATTGACACCACCGGTAGATCAGAGCTGGCAAGAGGGGTAAATCAGGATGAAACATTTGGGCACTTTGCAGTTTAGAGGAACTTTGGGGGTGCTGCTTTAGTAAAAAACAGAAGACTTGCATTTATTAAAGGTTAATAAGAAGTGAAATCAAGTATGCAAAAAAGTACATTATAAGTTAGAAAATACAAAAAAGGCAGAAACTATTTATTTATTGGTTGCTCTGCACTTTACTTAAGTGGTTTTTGATCATTTCACAATGTGTAGGAGTTGAGTTTTACCTTCATTTTATGGATGTGGAAATAGGACTTGGATGTTAGGTAACTTGCCTAAATCTCTCAGCTAACAGAAAGTGGCTTTCCTGAGTTGCCGGGTCTGTCAGACCTCAGGCCTATACTCTTTGTATGAGTTCATGCTGACTCCCAGATGACATGCGAGGCACGTAAATTAGATATTATACCAATTTCCACTATAGTTAACATTCTATCTAAATATAAAGTGAGACCATGGTCTTAGATGAATGTGGCTATTGAGAGCAGCAACAATCCAGAATGGCTACTCTGATCTATGTCGATAAGGAATTGGAGACCCAGGCATTGGTGTGGCCGCTAAGGACGGGCTAAAGCTGGGGTCTGGACCTTCAATCACAAAGCCTTAGGTGGGAGATCTCAAGTTTTAACGCCATGTTTTGGCAAAACGTTCGATGCTCCACCAGCCTTACCTAAAGCTACCAGAAAGGCTTTGGGAACTGTCAAAAGAGCTACAGAAAAGTCAGTAAAGACCAATGGACCCAGCACACAAAAACAGCCAAGGTTTTCTGCTCAAAAGATGACCGAGAAGACTGTTAAAGCAAAAAGCTCTATTTCTGACTCTGATGATGCCTGTTTAGAAATAGAAAAATTCTTTCCCTTCAATCCTCTAGACTTTGAGAGTTCTGACCTGCCTGAAGAGCACCAGATCGCACACCTCCCCTAGAGTAGAGTGCCTCTCATGATTCTTGGTGAGGAGAGAGAGCTCGAAAGGCTGTTTCAGCTGGGCTCCCTTCGCCGGTGAAGATGCCCTCTCCACCATGGGAATCCCATCTGTTGCGGTCTCCTTCAAGCATTCTGTTGACCCTGGATGTTGAATTGCCAGCTGTTTGCTATAACATATTTAAATGTCTTAGTGCTTTAGAGTTTGCGTGTAATTGTATTAACAAAGCAATCTTTGTTTAACAACAAAATAAATGAATAACTAGAAAGTGGGTCATATTCCCCTTTATATGCATCTGTCTTAGCTGTTCTTTGATTCTGTATTCCTTCCATGCTAAGGCCCCTACTCTTTGGGGATATGTCAACATTATTTACTTCTGTAGAGAAACAGGAGACAGGAAATAGCAAAGGATAAAGGAGAAAAGGCCAGGGTCAGGTCAGGAACTTCCTACATCTTTTCTTCCCAGCCTAGTGTGAGCCAGATGAAACCCTTAAGGAGGGCCTAGCAGCAAAGGGAGAGAATTAAAAGAAGAATGGGAATTTTGTAGAATGCTAAAAAAAAAATAGGGAACATATTTGCAGCTAGGACTAACTGACTATCTTGATTATCTTAAAATATCTGTATGGCTAAGTAATATTCTTGAAATCCCATGTCTTATGCTTCTCATGTCTTATAATTTAAGCACTTTTATGTCCATGCCTTGAATTCTGTACAAAGCTTTGATAGAGTCACAGATGTCTGGTGTCGATCCAGGTCGCCTGAGAAGCTTCAGGGGTTCCTCCGTCGTCCCTGAATTCCAGGACGTAGTGAGCTTCCTATTCCAGCAGCTGCTATTCATTACACATATTAGTGGTTTTGCTCTTGCTACTGAAAGTGGGTGGCAGTTATGTCTCTGAACATGTTATTCCACAAAAAGCCAACTGGATGTGGCTATTTAAGAACCATCAAAGCCCATGACAGGCCAAAGTTTCTAAATCCCTCCTCAATCAAAGGATGCCTTCAGAACTGGCCAACAGAAAAGATGCAAGGTCTCACTCCTAGGCTGTTCTACTGTTCTTTAGAGAAGAGTTAAGGTTCTGGGATCTGTTGCACTCCATTTTGTTTTTTGCTTCCATGCTATTTTAAAACTGGAGGTTGGTTAAGTTTAAAATTTCAAGACAAAGCATAAAATATTTGGGAAGTTACCTGTACATTGCCTGTCTCCCTCACTAAACTGTGAGCCCCATGAGGTCAGGGCCCATCTCTGTGTTATTCATTATGATGTCCAAGTACTTCCCTTTTCCCTGGAGCTGATGCTATCGTGGGCTGCTCTAAGTAATCTTTATCTTGGGTCAGTAGCCACTCAGGTCAAGGATGAGTTTCCATTAGGTGTGGGCATAAGTCCCTACTCAGCCATTGTCCTCTTCACCGGAAGAACTAAATTTTGTCTGTAAAGGAGGACATCATATTCTGTAAATGGTAGGACCTCATTCCCTGTAAGATTTATATCGATGCGTTTTGGACTCAAGTACCACAGTTGTATTCCACGGCAAGACAGGAAGTATTACTGGAGTCAGACTCCCTGGGTCCTAACCCTGCTTCCTCTATTTAATGGCTACGCAACCTTGGGCAAGCTGGTAACGTCTCAAATTTTACTTCGTAAAGCTGTTGATAGAGACACTAAACATGTTTAAATTTCTGAATGTTTGGTGCTATGTGTATGTACAGTTATTAGCATAGCAAGCATCTAAATGATATCAGAGTAGAAACTCAATAAATATTTGTTGGATGAATAACTAACCTCTCATACTTCAGTTTCATCAGCTGTAAATAAACAGGTTTAGCTATATGATACCTTTTCAGTTCTAATATCCTATGGACTTATGTTAGTAATTATAATTTTTTATTCTTAGTAATTTTTTCAGGATTACTATGAGGATAAGAACTCAAATTCTAAACTGAAATAACTCAAGTGAACTGAATAAAAACTTGGTCAAAAACAGAAAGTGTTTTAAAAATCACCATTTAAGTCCAATGATGAGATAGTCTTTGATTTAAAGTGTGTCTGTGGTCAGCCCAGGGAAATAGTGTACAGCTTCTCTACAGCGCTTTAAAATCTTCGTTACAGTCAGTTTAAGTATTTCCTTGGCAATAAACATCAACTCTTCTTTTTCTGACACCTCTTTGTATATGATGGCCTTGGCATGAGACATGAAACCATTAAGAAAATACCAGCCAGGTCCTCTCCTACAGCCCATAAAAATTATTTAGTTGAAACTGTGCGTATTTATTAGCTTATAATCAATTTTAAACTAACTCACTAAAAGTACTGTATTAGGCCATTCTTGTATTGCTATAAAGAAAAACTTGAGACTGGATAATTTATAAAGAAAAGAGGTTTAATTGGTTCACAGTTCTGCAGACTGTACAGGAAGCATAACACTGGCATCTGCTGGGCTTCTGGGTAGACCTCACAAAGCTTCTAGTTATGGGGGAAGGCCAAGGAGGAGCAGGCATCTTACATAACAGAACAGGAGCAAGAAAGGGTTGAGATGGGGGCAGGCGGGGACAGGTGCATTGGCCCATGCCTGTAATCCCAGCACTTCGAGACGTCCAGGTGGGTGGATCGCTTGAGGCCAGGAGTTCAAGACCAGACTGGCCAACGTGGTAAAACCTTGTCTCTACTAAAAAGACAAAAATTGGCCGGGCCTGGTGGCGCATGCCTGTAATCCCAGCTATTCATTGAGTAGCCTGTGGCAGGAGAATCGCTTGAGCCTGAGAGATGGAGGTTGCAGTGAGCGAGATCATGCCACTGCACTCCAGCCTGGGTGACAGAATGAGATTCCGTGTCAAAAACATACCCATCTATGTACCTGTGTACAAAATATCTGAAACAGCTGCTAAGACTGTGTAGTAACCACATGGATATCTGTCATATTATGCTATAAGTGTTTTGAAAATAATAATTTTTTAAGATCTTAAGAAACAAGAATACTGTAATGAAAAATCCAGTATCAGACTCTACTCTCTAATAGATTAGAGATATTATCTCTGCTCTTTCCCTGCTAATGGCTCATTTGTACTTGGCATTTGGGTACCTGCTTAAAACACCAGGCTGACTATAGGGTCCCTGACGTTGGTTAGGGACTCCTCTGTCAGCTTTCTAGCACTCTCTCTATTCCTTCTCACCGCACTTATCACCCAGTTGTGCTGTTTCCTGTTTACTTGCTGCATGGGCCTCTGTACCATAACACGTCCCTCTAGGGGCAGGTGGCTTGCGTACTGTGGCATCCCTAAGGACTGGTAGGCGATATTGAGTGGGCGAATAAATTACTGCAATGGCTTAAGTTCAGTGCTCTGCGCACACACGGGCCAGGGCTGGATATGTGAAATCACCACTTGATTAAATTAGTTAAAGCAGCATTTGTTGGCACAGAGAGGCTGTGTGCCCCTTTCTTGGAGTCCCCTAGGCTTCAGTGCATGCCCCACAGTCTCACAGTTGGAAAGGAGAGTTGGGGTTTTATGCTTCAGGTAAGGTGATCCTAAACCTTGTACTAGATCCACTGACACATCCAACTCGAGACGCAGGATCCAACTGGAGACTCAGGTTCCCATTAGGCTGTGGACAGAGCCAAGTCTCCTGCCACTGAATTTCCTAGTTACTGAGAGGTGAGGGTTTTCCTGTCCACCAGCAGACCAGTTTTTCACAGAAAGGACCAATGTGCCTGACCTCCCCAGACCCGGCAGTGAAGCTCCTGCTTTGTCCTGGGTTCAGTGGAGTTTGGCGTGCTCGCTCGAGCATAGGCTGGATGGGGACAAGCAGCAGGGGGCTGCTTACTGCAGGTCTCACCTTCTTATTGGCCCCTGGCCTGGCTGTACCGTTGAGAAGGTCGCTGCTGCCTCAGACTCCACAAGAATTTGCTTCCTTTCTCTCTTCCTTCCTACCTCATTCATTCATTCATTTGTTCTTTAGGATCTACTGCCATTTCAAGTCTATTTTTATCTCATCTAGCTAGCATCAGCTCCCAGCCTCATGAAAAAGGCCAAGCTCAGTCGGGCGTGGTGGCTCACGTCTGTAATTCCAGCACTTTGGAAGGCCGAGGAGGGTGGATCAACTGAGGTCAGGAATTTAAGACCAGCCTGACCAACACGGAGAAACCCTGTCTCTACTAAAAATACAAAATTAGCCAAGTGTGGTGGTGCACGCCTGTAATCCCAGCTACTTGGGAGGCTGAGGCAGGAGAATCGGTTGAACCTGGGAGGCAGAGTTTGTGGTGAGCCGAGATCACACCATTGCACTCCAGCCTGGGCAACAAGAGCAAAACTCTCAAAAAAAAAAAAAAAAAAAAAAAAAAAAGAAAAGAAAAAGGCCAAGCTCTTTCCCTGACAGAGCCTGCTGTTGGCAGGAAGCTGCCAGAGCACGGTGGCTGTCTAGAGAATCTTTCTTGGCCATGCCAGCTTCCTGAAATCTTAGAGCATGAAGCCCTGTGTTCGTAGCAGTTAGCACCTGCTTGGAGGAATGCTGACAGGTGGCCTATGCAGCCACTGCTCCACTGTGTCTCGGTAAAGCGTTGGGTGAATTATTTTACTTTCCTGAACCTCAGTTTCCTCATCTGCAAAACAGCATAAATAATACCTTGCAGCAGGGTGTTAAGATAGTTAGGGGCTGTGAAGTAAAGTGGTTAAGTTGGCGGAGGGCCTGGGCCTGATCCTGGTTTTCTCCTTTTCCAGGTGACTGCTTCAGTTTCCCCATCCAAAAACAGGTATTCATACTCTCAACCTCATGCACTGTAAATGCTTACAACAATACCTGGTCCAGGATGGATGCTGTCTGAAGGTTTTCTGAAGTGTCCGGCAGATAGGAAGCACTCGATACACATTATGTTCTGTTACTATTATTGTTTATCTTACCACCTAGGGTTGTGAGATAGATAACATATGAAAACATCTGGCATGCCGTAAGTACTCAGCAGATATTGTTTTCTTCCTTCCTGACCCTTGATCTTGGAGCAGGGGTACCTTGGAGTGGAAGCAGGTGATCCCTGACTGAGTTGTCATTCTTTTTAATGCTCTTCTTGTTCCTGAGAACAAGAACTACCTCTAGATGTCTGGAAAAGTTCCAGGAGCATCAGGGCCCTTGTGATATTATGACCTCAAGATTGGTGAGCAGATATATTTAGTTCTACTTTGATCCTGAGCTAAGGCTGCCAGACGCAGACCTGTCATGGACATTCATCCATTCATTCGAGATGGAGCCTCACTCTGTCGCCCAGGCCAGAGTGCAGTGGCATGATCTTGGCTCACTGCAACCTCTACTTCCTGGGTTCAAGCAATTCTCCTGCTTCAGCCTCCTGAGTAGCTGGTATTACAGGTGCCACCATGCCCAGCTAATTTTTGTATTTTTAGTAGAGACGTGGTTTCACCGTGTTGGCCACGCTAATCTTGAACTCCTGACCTCAAGTGGTTTGCCCACTTCAGCCTCTGAAAGTGCCGATTACAGGTGTGAGCCTCTGCCCCAGGCCATGGGCATTTAATTTCGTCTATATTTCACAACATGACCGAGGGAAGCTGGGAAGGGACCTTGGAGATCGTGGGCCTAATACCCACAATTTACAAGGTGGAAACAGGTTCATAGCTATGTGACATGATCT